CAGCTGCTCTGCAACCATCTCGTAGTCTGTACCCTGGCCAGAATTAAACCTCCTGAGACCTCCTCTCTCAGACATGGGAGCCCCAGCCTGCTGTTCAGAGTGAGACTTGGAGTGACCTGCTGGGTGGCAGTTGAGCCAGGAAGGGCTGAGAAGGACACATTCACCATGAGAGGCAGTTGAATTTCTGGCAAAGCTCACACATTTATATTAAAATTTGTCTAACATGTTGGTGTCAAAGGGCTGCCCATGCCTCTACAGGCTCCACTTCTCTTGGAGGAAAAGGGTCTTTGTGAGGTCCCCAGAGGGCCAGAGCGTACCATGCATAGACCCTGAATCTTTTTGCCTTCTTGGCCAGGCTTTATTTCATACTCTAGGCCCCTCACCCCTCTACTTCACTATGGGCAGCACTGAAGAAGCATTAGCAGTGTTTCCATCTAAGTGAAAGTGGCCCAGCCATGGCCCCCAGCCCTACTCAAACTTGTGTCCTGCCTTGGCCGGGAATAATTTGCTCAGTTGGGAGATTAAAAGCCCAGCCTACCTGCAGAGCCTAGTGAGATGCATACATTGGCACCACTGCTGTGGCTAGAGGGGTAGAAGTATCCAGCATATTTTCCCCAGGGGCACAGTCCTGATCCAGGAGATGTTGAGTTTCTCAGTGATCATGAGTGAAGCATACTAGCAAGATGCTGGCCAGTTAAACCTTAGTGACAAGGAATACCTGGGTAGCTTAGCAACATCTCTGCCCAAAGTCATTTCAGAGAGAGACTTGTGAGTCTAGGGAGGGAAATTACAATTTTCCAACCCACTTCCCACCTGTAGGTGAAAACCTCCAGGGCTCAGCCTGTAGGCTCCTCCTCCAGAAAACTCTCCTGAATCTTCCCACCCTTCTGTATGTCCTCTGAAGCTGTGGGTGCTGAGGCTTAAGCAAGCCAGGCCCTCTTAGGCAGAGCAGAGTGGTGGTTTACAAAACCCTGGTCTGAACCTGGCTCTGCCTCTCACAAGTTGTGTGACCCTAAGCAGGCCATTATCCCTCCTCAAACCTTACCTCTTGAGCTAAAAATGGTCACTTTTTTTTTTTTTTTTGACACAGAGTCTCAAGCTGTTGCCCTGGGTAGAGTGCTGTAGTGTCATAGCTCACAGCACCCTTCAACTCCTGGGCTCAAGGGATTCTCCTACCTCTGCTACCCAAGTAGCTGGGACTACAGGCACCCGCCACAACGCCCAGAGTGCAATTTTTTGGTTGCAGCCGTCATTGTTGTTTGGTGGGCCCAGGCTGGATTCGAACCCGCTGGCTCAGGTGTATGTGACTGGCACCTTAGCCGCTTGAGCCACAGGCGCCGAGGCCTTTTTTTGTTTTTTGTTTTTTGTTTTTTTTCTGAGACAGAGTCTCACTTTGTTGCCCCTGGTAGAGTGTGGTGGCATCATAGTTCACCGCAACCTCAAACTCTTGGGCTCAAGCAATTCTCATGTCTCAGCCTCCCAAGTAGCTGGGACTACAGG